GACATTTTTCAACCCTGTTTTACTGAGTAGTATGTGTCAAAGACAGAACTTGAGAAGTTGTCTTTGGACTCTACATCCACAGAAACATATTCTCTACCAAACTGCCTGGTGATTTGCTTTTAACTCATCTGCAAGTTATTTCTCATGCCTCTTTGCTGGCCTTATCCTTGTTTGTAGAGTCTTTTACTAAGAAGGAATTGTCTACTATGCTTCTACACATGATGTCAGATTAAGTGGGTCTGCAGTGGCTTGCTAAATGGAAAATAAGTCCCTTGTCACTATTAATGAAGAAAACTGCCATCTCTAGCCCACCGGTCTTATGTAAGATAATATATGTTTTCCTCTAATATCTACTCATGCACTTTTAAAAGACTTTTATTGATAAATAATGCATGATACATTTTCCTAGGCAGAGAAAATTCCTAATGGGCCAATTATATCAAAGGCAATTTATATAGGCTACCCAATTCAGTCTAATGTCATTGAGGGTATATATGGCCAGGGGTAGCACAGAATAAGGATTTGTAAATAAGAGAAAAACAAACATGATAATGTTACTAAGATTTTTAGAAGAATTAATTTTAATATTTTCACCCTTGGTAACAAGAAGAAATTTGGCACATTTTTCTCAAAAACCTAACAAAAATTACAAAAATCTGTTGCAATCCTTTGTAATCCATTGCTAGTTTAGGTCCTGACCACCTCTCCCTCTTTAGTAGGCTAGAACAAGAAGTCTTCTGGATACCAGCCTCTTCCTTCCCACAGAGCCTGGATGCTTTATATGATTGGGCAGAATCATCTTTTTAAAAAATCACAGCTATGGTCAGGGGCACCTGGGTGGCTCAGTCGGTTAACCGTCTTGACTCCTGACAGCTCAGGTCATGTCATGGTTCGCAGGATTGAGCTCCACACTGGGCTCTGCACTCGCAGCACAGAGCCTGCTTGGGATTCTCTCTCTCTCTCCCTCTCTCAAAATAAATATATAAAACATTAAAAAAAAAATCACAGCTATGTGCATTTTGTTCTTCTGCTCAAATACTTTGTCTCTACAGTCTACATATATAAAAAAGTTCTTTCAAATGTCTTAGCAAGGTATTTCAGTCTTTAAATTATCTGAGATTGATATACCTTTCCAACCTTCTATCCCTGATCATAAAGGGCATGCTGAGGAATTTGGAGGAACCAGCACACATTCACATGACAAAGCACAGGATGGACCTGACAAGGAACAAGGCTGTTTTGTTTTTTTTTTTAATTTTTTAATGTTTATTTATTTTTGAGAGAGAGAGACACACACATACACACAGAGCATGAGCAGGGGAGGGGCAGAGAGAGAGGAGACACAGAATCTGAAGCAGGCTCCAGGCTCTGAGCTGTCAGCACAGAGCCTGACACGGGGCTTGAACCCACGAGCTGTGAAATCATGATTTGAGCCAAAGTCGGACACCCAACCGACTGAGCCACCCAGGCGCCCCAGGCTGATAAGTTTAATGAGGAGTCATGAGATAGTTTGAATTTCTCACAATGAGAAAGTAAGCCAAGTTTGTAGCTACTTCCGAAGAGAAAGAGTACCTGATTCAAGAGATCTTTCTTTCTTTGTTTTTTCTTTTTCTTTTTTTAGGGAGAGCAAGAGTGGGAGAAAGTGGGAGAGGGGCAGAGGGAAAGACAGAATCACAAGCAGGCTCAACGCTGGCCATGGAGCCCAATGCAGGGCTCGATCCCACTATCCTGGGATCACGACCTGAGGCGAAATCAAGAGTCTGATCCTCAACCTACTGAGCCACGAAGGCACCCCTCCAGAGATATTTCTAATGCAGATTGAATAAATAATGACATCAGGTAGGATATGAGTGGTGAGGAAGAAAGGGGAATTGAGGATAACATGTAGACTTTTGCTTAGGAAACTGTTGAACCATTAATCAGAGATATAGAAGGCAGAGTGTGCTTCAAACATTGGAAGGGTGAGAAATTTTGTATTAGATCTGCCTCATCTAAGATGTCTATAGGTAGCAATGTGCCTTAGGCAGTCAGAGGTTAAGGATTTGGGAGTCACTGTCATACTGTAGATAGTTAAAGCCAAAGCAGTGGACAGTCCGGCTGTGAAAGATCAGAGAGCCAAGAGGACAAAGGTCGAAATAGCCTTTAGGTGTCCCCCAACTATTTTGTATCCTTTAAAATATTTAAATTCTGCCTGAAGCTAACTGTATACTTGTTAGTCTCTCAACCCTCAGACTATAAGATTTCAGGGAGTTTTAGGGAATGAAAAGCCACTGTTTTATTAGTTCAGGGGAGAGATGGTCAGAATCAGGACCTGCTGCTCAGCCTATGACCATTTAATTCTTGTTTTTAATCTCTAAAGACAACTCATGGTGAGAATCAAGGGGCTTAGGCAAACTGGACCATTTCCAGTAGGTTTAAACAGAACTACATAACCTCCAACTTGTTTTTCTGTTTGTTGTGTTTCGACTATAAAATAATTTCAAGTTCTTCACACTTTTTAAAAAAATTAACACACAGGAAAGGTAAAAAGCTAAATTCACGAAAAACCACTCATCCAAAGGGAAAAAATTATGACTACATCCCTCTGGCTTTTTTTTCTTTCTATGTAGTTTTGGTTAAAAATTTTTCAACCATACTGTACAGTTTCATATCACGATTTTTTCACTTATTATATATTAGCATTTTCCCATGTTACTTAAAATTTATAAATTATTTATTTATTTATTTAAATGTTTGTTTATTTTTGCGAGAGAGACAGAGTGAGAGCAGGGAAAGGGCAGGGAGACAAGGAGACACAGAATCTGAAGCAGGCTCCAGGCTCTGAGGTGTCAGCACAGTGCCTGCCCCACGTGGGGCTCGAACTTGTGAACTGTGAGATCATGACCTCAGCCGAAGTGGGACAGCTTAACTGACTGGGCCACCCAAAGCGCCCCTGCAAATTATTTTAAAAAGCCACTTAATATGCATTTAGTGAAGTCGCATTTTTCCTCACTGTTGAGACACCTGGTTGTGCCAACTTTATCTTATAAATAACTCTGTGATAAAGGTCTTTATGCATAAAGCATGTTCTTCATTTCCGATGGCTTCTTTAGGATATATTCCCACAAGTATCACTAATGAGTCACATGGAATATATTCAAACGTTTAAAGCCACCCCTCGCTCATCCTCAGCCGCTAGCCCTTCGCACGCGAGTTCCCTACTCCCATTCTCCCCATCCTCTCTGCACTCCTGGGTCTCCTCCCTACTCCCCAACAAGTACTGGCCCCTCCATTTCCCTCTCCGCCCACCCACAGCCTCCCCAAACCAGCTAGGCTTAGGCAGGAACGGACACAACAATACCTTTGGCCTGACTGCCCACAGAAAATAAGACTCCCGGGTCCTGCGGATCTGGAGCCCTGAGCGAATACCGGAAGTATCGGCTCCCAGGCCACTGATAGGTGAGCGGTAACTTGGCAAGCCCTACAATGCCCTCTGTCTATTGGTTAGGGTCCTTCCCTCTGACCAATAAGCTCTGGAACTACCGCACGGATCTCTGGGAGTTGTAGTTTCCGTGTAACTCCATCTACAGTAAACCAGCAACAATTTCTCCCTCAAGAAGGGTAGAGCCTTCCCTCACTTCTCGATTCTCTTAGTCTGAGAAGGGGTACAGGATCCCTAGAGTACGGTTTCTTAACTTTGGAGAGGAGATGGGGGTCAGGGGAATGGGAAGGTGTTGAGGACTTCTTTTAAAATGTGATAAAATCTCCCCAGAAAAATGTTCTTATCTGTACACAAAACATTGTGCGTTCACTGAAGCCTGTCCATAGACCTGTCCGAGTTACAAACTCCTGTTCTACACTTACTGGCCATAGCCCAGGGACCTAGTGTGACACCAGACTTTAGACCAGCTACACATCTGGAGACTCTGGGCCATGCCGTGGAGTAGCCGATGGGGAATTTCAGATCCTGACCCTCATAGTACAGTTGACCGTCGTCTTTCTTGAACAAAACATCCAGTTTTGGTACTTCAGCGATGCTGATAACCTAAATCTCTTACCTAAACACCTGGGAGAATGGGGGTGGGGCGGATGGAAGAAGAACACTTCCAGGGCCCACTCTGGCTGCCTTTACTCAGGTTTTTCTCCCCGTGCTTATATTCCAGTGCCATTTATCAGAATCATACTTTCACACTGATTTTTGGAACAATGAGTGAGAGAAAAATTAAAGTTCCATTCATCAAGCAAATGTTACCTCCTCCAAAGATATCTTTCCAGATTCCTGGGACTCTTTTGGGTGGAGGTGAAGGGTCTGGCGTGGAAGAGGAGCTTAAGTTGTAACTTATTCATTCATTCCACAGCAGGAATCAACCATGCTGTAACCACCCGTCACAAATTTCGTTCTTTGACGACATGGATTCTACCTCAATTTAACTGTCATCAGCAGGACGCAGTTCTTTGCCTCGAAAGGTGGGAACCTACCTGTGAGTGGGGCAGAACGAGGCGGGAAGCTTGAATGAGGGTTGAGGGTGATTGGGGTAAGGTAATGATTGGTTTCCTCCCACCCTCCCCTCCCCCGCACCTCGCATCCCCAGATTGCTCCTGCAATCCCGGCAGCCAAGCCAGAGTAGTACGTACTTCTCAGGTGCTTCCATAACGTCCTGAACTCCAAGGCAGTGAGCGTATCTACTTAAAGTGTTGGTTTAGTTGCCGGCTTTCCCCTAGTCTGTGGGACCGGGTTGACTCCCCAGAGCTTAGCACAGAGTAGATGCTAGGTAAATTTGTGTTGAACGGATGGATAGATAGATGGATAAATGGATGGAGGGATAGATGGGTGGGTGGATGCGCGCGTGTCTCATGTCTCCCTCACCATCCTCCCCAGTTAACGACCCTTAGCCTGGCAAGCTCGGGAGCAGCCGCTTCAGGGTCCCTTCCCCCGGGCCCCGCCCCAGCCGACCCCACCTTTCCGCGCCGCTCCGCCCCGCCGCCCCCTTCCCCGTGGCCCCTCCCCGCGCAGGTCCCGACTCCCGCCGCACCTCCTCCGGCTCTGCAGTGGCGGCGGGGAGGCGAGTCGGAGAGCCAGCGGGGCCAGGGCCGGAGCCGAGCCGGGGTCGGGGCAGCAGCGGGGACCCTCGGAGGCGGGGCCAGTGGGACTGCGATGGGCGTGGAGATCGAGACCATCTCCCCGGGAGACGGTACCGGGCGGCCGAGCTGGGGGAGGAGGAAGGGTCCCGGGGCGGAGCCGGGCGGGCGGGGGTCTGATTCAGAGGTGGCGCGGAGGGTGCTGAATCCGAGGCGGGCATAGGATGAGGGCGGTGAGAGGAGATCCCAGGAAGGATTGTTGGGAATCTAGCAGACGATCCTCCACCATCCCCTTCCGCGCCGGCTCACCTAGGGGAACGAAGGCGGCGGCCAGGAGGCGGGGGTCTGCGGCCCGCCACCGCCCCGGGGGCCTCGGGCCGCCGCTGCCTCGGCTGGAACCTCTCGGTTATCCGCTACTGCTGGTTTCCCAGGGCAGGCTTTTAGTTCTGCTTTCCCTGCCCTGCTAGGTGAGCTCTGGAAACAGCTGGAAGGGTTCTCTTCTGTTTGGGGCAACCCTTTCCAATGCGACCCCCTCCGGGCCTCCGGTCGGGCGGCCCCTGTGGGCTGGGCGGTGAGACGTTGTGGGGACCGAGCCAGTCTGGGAAGGAAGAAGCGCTCCCTCCGCCTCTGCATCTCGCTTTATCCTCCCCGCCCCACTCAGCCTCTCCAGCCATCCTGTACACTCCCATGGCTTTCATTACCGTCTGCAAACCGATGGCCTCCAAACTTAAGCCTCCAGCTCAGATCTCCGACCTGAGTTCAAGGTGGTCCATTTATCCAGCTGCTGCTCGACCTCTATCTGGATGTCCCACGGATACCTAATTCAGCAAGTCCAAAACAACTAACTCTCCTTGTCCTCCCCACTTCCAAGCGCTCCTCTCTATTGCCTTTTCCCTGTCCCCAGGACTGGCACCACTCACTCCCCCAAGCCAGACATCTCTTGTATAATTGGGTATGGATGTGCAAGGAATAGCCAGTTTTAAGTTTTTTAAATGAAACTTAATCCAGTCCAGAGTCCCCATGTCTGCAGCAGAATTTGACAGACAAATTTCACGTGAGACATAACTCACAACCCCCACCTTCTCTAGGAAATGAGAGGACCTCAGGGTTCCAGGCCACCCTCCTCGTTAAAAGGCAGTGATTCCTAGATCCTAGCCACTACCCTGATCACCCAGCAGGTACAGACTTCTTTGACCCAGCTGGGAACTATGGTGCTGGGTCCCAGGAGGCATCTCCCTGACACCTTGTCACACCCCAGGGCACTGTCATTGATTTCTGCCAGGGGGCTGCAGGCCTCTTCTCCCTTCCTTGGTTCATAGTAGCTTTTAGAGTTATTTTGAGGGAGAGAGTGTGCACCCCCAGTGTGCACACACACCAGCTGAGGAGAGACAGACAGAGAATCCCAAGCAGGCTCCACGATGTTTGTGCAGAGCCAGATGCGAGGCTCCGTCTCAGAAACCCTGAGCTGAAATCGAGAGTTGGGCACTTAACCGACTAAGCCACCCAGGCACCCCGAGGGAGATTAGATTTTTAGAGAAAGCCTGAAAGAGCTTTGGCCTTCTACTTTTAACAGTCTAAATTCTTGAGCCAGGAAAGCACAGAAGGGCCAAACTACTGTACTGTTACATTGGGGACACCGTCTTGGTCGAGCCCCACACCAAGTCCTTTCAAGTCCTTCTGCTGAAAATTTCTGGGTTCCATCCCTGTAGCCCCTGCCCTGGTTCAGGCCAACATCACCTCTCACTTGGATTTCCGCATATCCTCTAAACTGGGCTCACCACCTTCAGTCTCACCTCTCTGCTTTCCATCTGGCCTCCCTAACTCACCACCTATTTTTCACACCGTAGCCTGTGGACTCTTTAAAATGCATATGTGACTGTTCTGTCCCATTCTGCTCTTCACCCTCCCCACCCCCCCGCTTCGTGTTTTAATGAATCTTCCATCTCCTTCTGCAGACAGATGGTGGTCCGGCCGAGTCTTACCTTCCACACCAGAGCCTCATCTCTTCCTACCAGTAGCAACCCCCACTACCACCATTTCCCCTAGCTTTAGCAGGCTGCCTGCAAATTTGTTAAACATGCCAGTCATTCTGCAAATATTTATTGAACGTGTACTATGTAGTTGGGGTTAGAGCGGTGAGCCAGACAGGGATCCCACTATGGCTCGATTCTAGGCCTTTGAACATGTTGTTCACTCTTCCCAGATTATCTCCCTTTACTTCCTCTGGCAAACTGCTTATCTTTTAAGACTCAGTTGAACCATGATCTCCTCTCAGATGCTTTCCCTGACTCCCATAGAGTCCTCTACATGTTGGCTCACTTGTTAGCTTCCCAAATGCTTTGTTACCCAGGCTTGTGGCCTGGTAAATTCCACCCAGATTTATAGCTCCAGTACAGATAACTCCATCTGCCTATTGCAACATAAGTTCAGATAGATGTCTAATAGGCATCTCAAAATTGCCAACTGCTCGGGGCGCCTGGGTGGCTCAGTCGGCTTCGGTTCAGGTCATGATCTTGCGGTTTGCGAGTTCAAGCCCCACGTTGGCTCTGTGCTGACAGCTCAGAGCCTGGAGCCTGCTTCTGCTTCCGTGTCTCCCTCTCTCTCTGCCTCTCCCCTGTTCACGCTCCGTCTCTTAATAATAAATAAATGTTAAAAAAATATATTTTTTTTAAATTGCCAACTGTTCAAATCTGCTCCTCCCCAGTCTTCCCCACCTGGAATTAGTTCCACTGTCCATCCAGTTCCCCAAACTGAAAACCCAAGTGTTGTACTCGATGTCTCCCTCTCCCTCATCCCAGACCCATCTCCACTCCATTAGTGTACCCTGTCAGTCCCGCTTCCCAGATATATCTATTTTGCTCTCTTCTCTGCTGCCACCACGTTAATTCAAGCCATAATTGATTTCCTGTCTGGATTATTGAAACAGTCACCTAATCGTCCATCCTACATACAGCAGTCAGAGTGATCTTATAAAATCTTAATTCAGATTATGTCATTCTCTTGCCTAAAACCCTCCAGTGGCTTCCTGTTGCACTTAGAATTAAATCCGGCTCTGCAATGCTGGGCATGATCTGGCTTTTTCCCACTTGCTTCCTTCTCCCTCTCTTCTTTCCAGTCACCAGGCCTCCTTTCTATTCTGCAAATGCTCCAGTCCTTTCCTGCCCCAATGTTTGTGCCCTTGGAGCTCCCTCTTCCTGCAGTGCTTTCCCCAGCATTTTGCTCATCCTTCAAGATTCAGTCCAAATGTCACCTTTTCTGAGAGGCCATCTTGAATCACCCTTTCTAAAATGGTCTGTCCATTGTATCTCTCTTTAACTCATCATTGTGTTTATTTCATTTAAAGAATTATCATAATCTAGAGTTGTCTTGTTTATTTGTGTATTGTTTTGTTTCCCCCCATTAGAATGTAAACTCCAAAGGAGTTGGGATCTTGTCTCTATGGTTTACTGCTGTGTCCCTGAAATCAGGCCCAGGCTTTGCATATAGTAGATACTCTGTAAATATTTGTGAATGATTATGCTTATTAATCCTTGGTTGCAGTCATCATCCTCCATTGTAATCTATTATTTATGGATCTGTTTCCCTAACTTCACCATGAGTTCATAGGTTGCTCTGGGTTTCTGGAATCTAGTCCATAGTAGGCTGTCAGTAAATGTTTGTGGAATGGGGGCACCTGGGTGGCTCAGTCAGTTAAGTGTCCAACTCTTGGTTTTGGCTCAGGTCATGATCTCACAGTTCATGAGCTTGAGCCCCGTGTCGGGCTCTGTGCTGACGGCATGTAGCCTGCTTGGGATCCCCGCACTCTCTGCTCCTACCCCACTTATTCTCTCTGTCTCTCTCTCAAAATAAATAAATAAACTTAAAAAAATGTTTGTGGAATGGATGAAGGAAAGTTAAAGGAATGATCAAAGAAAAGAAAATAATGGGGTGCCTGGGTGGCTCAGTTGGTTAAGCATCTGACTTCGGCTCAGGTTATGATCTTATGGCTCCTGCATTCAAGCCCCTAGTCGGACTCTGTGCTGACAGCTCAGAGCCTGGAGCCTGCTTTGGATTCTGTGTCTCCGTCTCTCTCTCTCTCTGCCCCACCCCTGCTCGCGCTCTGTCTCTCTCTCTCAAAAATAAATAAACATTTTTTTTAAATTTTAAGAAAGGAAAATAGAAAGGAGAGAGCATAGTTGAGGAACCCAAGGGAATAAAGTTCAAATCAAATAAAAAGCCTCATACAAGGCACAGAGCCAGAACTAGAGCCGTGGGCATCTCCATGGTATGGAGGGGAATGTGGGTCAGAGCTCTGGGTCATAGTCACATCTGAATGTCCCAAGTGACTTTTTCCAATGCCCTATTCATGCATCTGCCCTCATGTCTCCTTGCAGGAAGGACATTCCCCAAGAAGGGACAGACGTGTGTGGTGCACTACACAGGTAGGCTTTGCTCCCTCAGCCTTCATCCAGACCTGCCCCTCCCAAGGGAGGTCTCTCCTCTGCTACTCCTCTCTAGAGGTATCTGCTCCCTAGATCAGGCCCAAAGCCCAAGGTAGCCAAGCCTCCCTGTGACCAGTTGTCCCCTACGTCTCGAGCCAGCCTTGTGGGCATGGGAAAGGGGGCTTGCAAGGTTACCCCTTCCCCATTTGTACCAGCAGGAGCCATCTGTGGAGCCAGCCTCTGATTGGGCCAGGCACCTCCATTCCCTTCCCTCCGTTGTGGGCAGGGTGGGGCCTGGCCCTCCTTGTTCTGTCTGATATTTAGAAATCCCTTCTTGAAGCTCTGAGAGCCCTGATCTTCCCTGCAGGCTCCCTTTTCTTCCTACAATGTTATTAGAGAAGGGGAGGGTGACTTCCTCAGCATTTCCTTTCTTTTTTCAGAAATAGACTGTTCAATTCAGCGTGCTGTTATTGAGCACCTACTGTGTGCAAGATGCTGTGTGGGCACTGGGGACACAAAGGTGAAAAGGCAGGATTCCTTCCTTCTCTGGGGCTGTGGGGAGTGGCAGAGCCAAGTCATCCAGAGGCTCTGCTGTAGTGTGACAGCTGGGGCAACAGCAGTGCCTGTCTCAGGGCACTGTGGGACTTGCAGGAGAGCCCCACATCTCTGCGGACCCCTCTTGGATGCTCTGTATTGGAAGGTCAGGTGGGCTGAGGAACATTCTAGATGGAGCTCCTGAGGACTGCTGGCAGGAAGATCACAAGCAGGTATTTGTTCCAAGAGAAGTGAATGCTCTGCCTTGTGACCTGCTTCCCAATGTGGCAAAGTTGGTGACAGCCACTTAGCAGACGGCAAGGCCAGTTTAATTCCTAGGACGTATTCAGATGGGGCCATTTTTAGCAGTTCTCTGGGCCAGTGTGAAGTGCCAGGTTAATTCTAGGCAGACGGTGTGGGTATTTCTCAACAGCTGTGTTGCCGGTGGCTGGCGTCAGTGAGCTAGAGCTGTGTGTTATCTCCCTGTGACTGGCCTAATTACCATGAGTCCCCTGGGGCCTCTGACCTGTGTAATTGATTTATCTGTTCTACATGTTGTAGACAGACCAGTGCTTATCAAGTTACTAAAACCACAACATCCTTTTGCAAAGACTTTTCGGAGTAGATACAGGGAGCAGGCCATGTGCATTAAACACTAGCATCAGCCAAGAGTGTGGGGAGGGACCGTCTCATCAAACCCAGCAGGAGATTATAGGGGACTTTTTGGTAAACTTTTTAATTAAAAATAAATACAGCAGAGAACATAAATCTAAGATGTACAGCTCAATGGAATTTTTCAAAGTGATCACACTTACATAACCACCACCCAGCTCAACATGTACATTTCCAGCACCCCCTGGCATCTCCCTCCTGCCTCCTCCCAGTCATTACACCTCCCTGAAGGTAACCAGCATTCATACTTTTGTCCCCATCGATTGGCTAGGCCTGTTATTGAACACCATATAAATGGAATCACAGAGTATGTACTCTTTTGTGTTTGGCTTATTTCACTCAATACTATGTCTGTGAGATTTGTCCACAGTCATTGGTTCTTTTTTATTCCCATACAGTTCATCGTATGAATGTACCATAATTTATCTTTTCTAGAATTGATGAACACTTGGGTTTCTGATCGTTTTTGGCTGTTATGAATACTGTTGCTTTGAACAGTCTTATAGGTGTCTTTTGGTGCACGTATGTACACATTTTGTTTAGGTATATACCCTGAAGTGGAGTTATTTGGGCATAGGGTTGTACCTATCCTCTGCTTTAACAGATACTGCCAAACAGCTTCTCAAAGTAGTTGTGCCAATTTCCACTGCCACCAGCCATGTAGGAAGGCTCCAGTTCCTCTGCATCCTCATCGACACATGGCATTATCACATTTTTGTTTTGTTTTTGGCCCCCTTGGGTGGGTGCCCAGTGTATCTCATTGTGGTTTTGATTTGCATTGCCCTGATGACTAATGAAGTTGAGTACCTTTTCATGTGCTTACTGGCCATTCGAATATCCTCTTTAGTCTGCTCGAGTTTTGTCCAGTTATAAAAATTAGGTTGGATGCCTTTTACTTATTGATTTAAAGGAGTTTTTTTACATATTCTGGATATGAGTCTTTTGTTGGTTATACTGATTCCAGTCACCTCCCATGCCAAGGCTTGTCTTTTCACTCTCTCAATGGCATTTTTTGAATAGAAGTTCTTAATTTTAATGAAGTCCTACGTATCAATCTTTTCCTTTATAGTTAGTACTTCTGTGTTCAGCTCAGAAGTCTTTGTCTATTCCTAGGTCATGAGGATATTCTTCTGTTTATTATCTTATAGAAGCCTTATTATTTTATTTTTCATACTTACATCTGTGATTTATCTGGAATTTTTTTGTGTGTGCATAAAGTAGGGCTCAAGGTTAATTTTCTCCATATGATATATAGTTGGTCCAGCAACAGCAATTTAAAAAAATATATCCTTTATCTGTTGCATTGCTGTGACACCTTTGTCAAATCAAGTAACCGTATAGATGTTGGTCTGTTTCTAGGCTGAATTGTTTTGGCTGAACTTGTAGCTGTAGATAACTATATCTGGTCTGAAGTATATGAAATCTGAAGAAATTGGGGAATGAGGAAGTCAATTATCAAATGGAGTGTGTGTGTGTGTGTGTGTGTGTGTGTGTGTATCCATATGTGTATATGTCCAAGTATATGTCTGTGTAATTATATGTAGATTTGTGGATCTAAATATTTTCTTAGCATCTGTTTGAGCATCAGGGTTTTTCTTCTGAATGTGTGTGCTTAGGTGCCTATGAGCACATGTGAACATCTCTGTGTATTGGAGTATCTTAGCAACCTGTGTGTATGCATGAGTTTTTGTAAGACCTCCTTAGTAAAGGGTTTTCTCCTTCGCCTGATTTAATACCCAGGGCAAGAGTCCAATTTATTCTACCTAGAAAGTAGGAAAATAATACTCTCCCTTGTATATATTTAAATTGTAGGAATTAGAAGAAGTGGAATCATGGATGCGCAGACATTAAGCTTGTTCAGACCGCCCATGTTAAACATGGCATATCTGAAGCCATGAGAAAGGCAGTGATTTGTCTAACTTCACACAATGAGTTAGTGCCAAAATGAAGTCAGTATCCAGTCTCTGAACTCACAGGCCAGATCTTTCTCTGGTCCCAAATTGGCTTTTGTCATGGTCTGTGGGCTGCAGGAAGAAATCGTGGAAGAGCACTGTTTACAGGCCTGACCTTTGAACTAGTCACCGATAAGAACTAAAAATACCAAAACAGCTCTTGAGGGACACCTGACTGGCTCAGTTGGTGGAGCATGTGGCTCTTGACCGCAGGATTGTGAGCTCAAACCTCACATTGGGTCCAGAGATTGCTTAAACAAAGAAACTTTAAAAAGAGAGAAAGATACAGTTCTCGAGCCTTAGACAGCTGGAAGGAGACAATATTTGTACATCAGGGATGACACCTGGATAAGGGAGTCTGCAGACTGTTGGAGACAGCACTGGGGTGTTCCAGATTCAAACAGGCCCTTTTTATGGGGTGTGGGGGCCACCATTGACTGGCTGGGTCACCTTACTCTGTTCATTGCAGGGGGGGCGGGGATGATGTAGCCTTTGTTTTTTTGTTTTGTTTTGTTTTTTATGAGCAGGGGAGAGGGGCAAAGGGAGAGAGAGAATCTTTTATTTTTTTTAAGTTTATTTATTTATTATTTCTGAGAGGGAGAGAGAATGCACACAAGTGAGGGAGGGACAGAAGGAGAGAGGGAGACACAGAATCCAAAGCAGGCTCCAGGCTCTGAGCTGTCAGCACAGAGCCCAACACAGGGCGAGATCATGACCTGAGCCAAAGTCCAACGCTTACCAACTGACTGAGCCACCCACGCGCCGATGATGTGGCCTTTGGGTTTTGCATGTTGGGGGAAAACAGGTGAGGACTCAACCTGAGGCAGAAACATCCTTAGGCTGAGGAAGTAGCACAGAAAAAAGTTGTAAAGTGCAGAGGTATTTGAGAAAGGTATATTTGAGAGGTATTTGGGAAAGGTATTTGAGAAAGGTGTGACCTGAATAAGACATGGGGGGAAGGAAAGGAAGAGGAGAGCAGAGAGAGGGTTATCAGACAGGCAGTAGCTAGATCTTGAAGTGCCTGTGCACAGTGTAGGCATTTGGATTCTGCCACAGGGAGCTATTGACAAAAGGATATTGCTATCCCTATAAGCAAGAGAGAAATATGATCAGATACATGTTTATGAAAGACCGTCATTCTGGGTACCGAGTGGAGACTGGAAAGGAGGAGTGAGAGTGGAGAGAAAGACCAGTTAGAGGGTGTTCCTGTGCACAAGTGAGACATGATGGTGACTTGGTGTGGTCCCAGGGTGGTGGCAGTAGAAATGGAGTGTGTAGAACGCAGATAGATTGCAAAGACATGTAGGACTAAGTGATAGGCCATATTGAGGGAGTGGGTAAGGCAGAGTGAGGTATCTGGGTTTCTTGCTTGGACAACAGGACGGGCAGGGAGATCTGAAGAGGCGCAGGTTTGTACAGAATAGGAATTCCATTTTAGACATGTGGACCCAGAATGGGGTGTTAACTCATGGCCACAGCTCTTCTCCACCCTATTCTTGCTTTCACAGGAATGCTCCAAAATGGGAAGAAATTTGATTCATCCAGAGACAGAAACAAACCTTTCAAGTTCAGAATTGGCAAACAGGAAGTCATCAAGGGTTTTGAAGAGGGTGCAGCCCAGGTAGGATGAGGATCCTCATTAGGGGGGATTTGAGGAGTTGGAGTCTGGGCTCGGTACACCGCCCCTGCCCTATCACAGACCGCCACTGCTTTGACTCTACTGCTATGGCATGGTGACGCCATCTAGGTTCAGCCCCTGGCTTTGTGACCCCACTCCTTCCCTTTCATTGCCAGCATGACTTTAAGTCACTGGGGCTCTCATTCCAAGCACATCCCTGTGGGCTTGCTCAGAACTAGCTACGAGCTACCAGCTGTCTGGGACTGAGGCAGCTAGAGAGTTGGGGGGCGGGGAGGGGGGTGGTGGGCCAAGGTATTTTTTTTTTAACTTAAAAAAGTAATTTCCGACCTTGCAAAAATATCACGGAAATAGTTCCCATATATTCTTTACCCAAATGTTAACAGTTTACATAACCATGGTAAAACGATCCCATTACATTAATTTGTGATCAATTACACATTAACATTGATGCAGTACTGTTAACCAATACATTCAAATGTTTGAGTTGGTTATTAAAATTTTTAGATCTGTTTATTCAAATTTCACCATTTGTCCGACCAATGCCAGACGTTCTTGATGACTGCTGTGTGGAGCCCTGGTTCACACTCTTCTCCCTTGGTCTGTGAAGTCATATGGTGCTTTTAGTGTAGGTCTCTTAGCCCTCGCCTCCTTGCGGTGGCCTCTGATTGCTTAACGTCTTTAATGGACTGCTTCTCTTACCTCCTCGATTGTGTACTTGTACATGTGCTGTTTATACACCCTCTTTAGGTTCTTTTGGAAGGGGGTGAGGAACAATTAGGAATACCTTGAAGTGTTTAGGCCATGCGCTAAATGAATAACCAGCAGTGGTTGTCAGATGAATGAATTTGGGACTACTTTGTGGAAGTTAGTGCCCCACAGTGAAGTCTCTGCTAGTCTGAGACAGAATCCAAATTCTGCATCACTTCAGTGTGCCACACAGAAAATTCATCTCAGATCTTCAGAGTTATCAGGAGGATAGTTTGGGAAAATGCCATAGTTATCTTACTTTTTTCTTTTAAATCAAGCTGGGTCCTCTTTCTCCTCTCCCCATCTGCCCCCATCCCTGCTAGATGAGCTTGGGGCAGAGGGCGAAGCTGACCTGCACCCCCGATGTGGCGTATGGAGCCACGGGCCACCCTGGTGTCATCCCTCCCAATGCCACCCTCATCTTTGACGTGGAGCTGCTCAACTTAGAGTGAAGGCGGGAAGGAGCTCGAAGTGGCTGGAGATGGCTGCTGCCCACCCTCCTAGCCTGCTCTGCCACTGGGACGGCTCCTCCTGCTTGGGGCTCTTGATCAGCGTGCTAACCTCACTGCCCCGCGGCATTATACATTCTCTGCCCAAGTTGCTCTGTATGTGTTCATCATTGTTCACGCGCATCTTTGCTTAAGGAAACTTCGGTTGCAAATCAAAACATTTCAGGTTGTGCATTTTGCGTGATGCATGCAGTAGCCATTTCTGATCGCAGAACACAGATTTCTTGTTCGCACAATCTACACTGCCTTACTTAAGCCGGACACACAAGGTGCTCAGACATGAAATGTACATGGTATACACAGAGGGACTTGAGCCAGTTACCTTTGCTGTTACTTTCTCACTTAGAAGTTCTGTTGGCTGCTGACTTACACAATGTCCTCTTTGGAAATGATATGTAAAATAAAGGCTCTGTGCTTGACAAATTCCTGTCCATCCTTATTGTAGGAAGGA